GCAGGAGCCAAAGGTGAATCTGCCAACGGAGCTTGTGTTTGCTGCTACCAGTGTGTCTTGTCTCCATAAACTGCCTGAGCCTGTTGCTGTTTCTCTGGGTAACCTCAAATCCAACCACAGTGTGCTGTGTGGGAATGTTCCTCAGGCAGGACTGACCTCACTACCGAGGGTGAGTGAGGTACAACCAAGGTGGCTCTGCTCAGCTGCTGCAGGGTCTCACTCTGAAGGGGATGTTTTGGGCACAGTTTTGGCTGTCACAGCATGATCCTGCTCTGGCCAAACTGACTCCAAAGGCAGTGCTCCGAATCAAGAGGTTCATTAATAATTGCACAGGGTTTTCATCCTTTCTCACTTCTGCACAGATCAGCCAGTTGGAGCGAGTCCAGAGGAGGCCACGGAGATGATTAGAGGGCTGGAGCACGTCTCCAGTGAGGAAAGGCTGAGAGAATTGGGATGGTTTAGCCCGGAGAAGAGAAGGCTCTGGGGAGACCTTACTGCAGTCTTTCAATACCTACAGGGGCTCCAGGAGAGCTGGCGAGGGACTTGGAACAAAGGCCTGGAGTGACCAGATGGGGGGAATGGCTTCACACAGACAGAGAGCAGGATTAGATGGGGTATTGGGAAGAAATTTTTCCCTGTGAGGGTGGTGAGGCCCTGGCACAGGTTGCCCAGAGAAGCTGTGGCTGCCCCATCCCTGGAGGTGTCCAAGGCCAGGTTGGACAGAGCTTGAAGCAACCTGGGCTGGTGGAAGATGTCCCTGCCCATGGCAGGGGGTGGGACTGGGTGGTTTTGAAGGTCCCTTCCTTCCGAAATCCTTCTATGGTTTGGCATCCCAGAAGTGCCATCACATAACTTCCAGTCAAAACAGGGTCCAGCACTGAAAACCCCTTAATGGATGTCTCAGTTCTCCAGTTAAGGAAAAAAAGGCAGCACAGTAAGGACAAAGGTGGGTTTGCAGGGGGGAGCTGTGTGACTCGTGGGCATGCAGTGGTGACTGGGGGATGTCCCTGGGCAGGGTTTGGCACATCAGGGGCTCCACACGTTCTGCTGGTTCCCTCCCTTGGGGTGATACTGGCCACACTCAGTATCTGTCTGGCAGCAGCAAGGGACATTTAAGGGTTTTTATTTGGTTCTGCAGGGGCCTCTGAACCACCGGAGTTGTGTGGCTCCCTCTGCATACAAGGAGCCTTTTACCTCTTTGAGGATAATTATTTGGTGGACTTCAGAGGCCCAGAGTAGTTTTGGATCCTCCATGGTTGGAGGTTTGACCAGAAAAAGGCTTGAGCAACCTGCTCTGGCCTCATCCTGACCCTGCCTTGGGCAGGAGGTTGGACTGGAGATCTCCCAAGGTTCCTTCCAACCCGAATTATTTCGTGGATCTGCGATAAAGGTCTGTGATACATAAAAGATTGGAAGGATATTACATCACTGTACCTTTTGACTGAGAAATCCATGGATCTGTATTGCCTTTTTTTTTTTTTAAAGAGTGAAGTAACTGAATTTCATTTCAGAACTTAGAGAAAACCCTTGAATGACTTCTTCTGTGTTCACCTGTGTTCAGCTCTCAAAGGGCTGTTGAGGGAGGATGCTGAGGGAGGATGCTGAAAACCTGCTGCAGAGCCTGGATTTTCTGCCTTTTTTTTTTTTTTTGCTATGTTGTAATTCTGTGGAGCATTTCTTATCTTTTGGCTTATGGTGCTTTACAGGCTCTTTATACCTGTCACTAATTAATGACTAATTACTGTATTTCCAGTTGGTTACACTGTGGTTGCTCTGCTCTGGGTATTGTAAGGGTTTATGCCCCTAAATCTTACTTGCAGGACAGTTTTCCATCTTATCCACCCTGTGAACACCCCCATGCTCCAGGAGTGAATATCCTTGTAATACATCCTTGATTTACAAAGACTTTTCCCACCAGTTACCCAACTGCTGTTATATTGGTATGCTCCAATCTTTAACTCTTTTGAACTAGTGATAACTTCCATCACACTCTACACTGCTCAGGACTTCCTGTGTGCTGGAATCCTTCTGTGCTGCTCAGGGCTTCCTGTGTGCTGGAATCCTTCTGTGCTGCTCAGGGATTCCTGTGTGCTGGAGTCCTTCTGTGCTGATCCGTGTGGGCTTTGGGCTTCTGGGCTGCCAGGAAACAGGGAAAGATTGTGCTCACCTTATTTTCTTCAAACTTCTATTTTTGATCTTCTCTCAGTCCAGTTTGGACTCTGAAGGGTCTGAGTCAGGCAGATTTGATGATGTTTTATTTTATATATCAGAAAACGTTGAAGTTGTGGGAGTTTCACCTTACTGGAGACATTCAGTGTGGTGCTAAATCCAGAACTTGTGCTTTGCCACCTCTGGGAAATGGGCTGAACTTTGATTAACAAAAGGGATAATTGCCAGTCTCCAGAGACACAGGCTCAAGGCTTCACTCTCAGTTCTAGTGACAATTTTTAAATTAATTTGTTCTAATTTTCCAGTGTCACGAGTGAATCTCCTGTACAGCCCTTGCTTTGGGAATTGGGCCATTGGGCTGACAGGCTGAAGTCCCCAGTTCACAGAATACTGAGCTGGAAATGACATGGAAATTCGTGTCAGAGACAGCATTTGCAGCTCTTGGTCACATCCTCTTGCCATCTTTGGCAAATATAAAATCTGAATTCGAGCATGAGAACACTGTAATTCTCACATTTATTTTTTGTGCCCACCACTGATGGCAACTGGCTTGTTTTATTTTTTGTCACATGTAAATATTTTATTCAGGTCCGGTGTAACTGACTCTGGCAAGTGGGATGTGGCCTCCTCAGTTCCTGCATGGAGAGCTGTGCCCAGCTCTGGTGACAGTCTGACAGCACTGGGGGGTTTGGGAGAGTTGTTTTTGTTTTTTTTTCCTAATTATTATTAAAAAAAAAAGAAAAGAAAAAGGCAGGTGAGAGAAAATGCTGTGTGTAAATGCTTCCCAGATATATTGCTGTGCCACATACAGCATGGGTTTATTCCAGTTTATTCTAAATGTTATTGAAAAGTGTGCACATCTGTTCTGAGGCTGCCTGAACCTGTCGGCAGAGGCACTGCAGCCTGGGCTGTGCATGTTCTGTCCCAGTGGTTATTTTCCAACATGCAGACTCTGGCAGGTCAGCATGATGTCTTGCCTGGAATTTCCTTGCATTCTAAAATTAGGAGAAGGCTCTAGGAAACAATAGGAAATCAAGTCTCTAAACTCCTGCTCCCCCTGAACCTTTGTTGTCATTTAGACTTTCACCCACTTCCTTCTCACCGAGCTGGTTTGCATTAGATAAACTAAGTTAAACTCAGTTAAACAGAGCCCACGATGGTCAGTGGTGAGAGGGCTTAGTTTTCTTTTATTTACTCATTATACAATTGTTATGCTACTTTGGGACACCGGGAGTGTGAGTTTGCTCTCAGTTTGCTCTCAGTGCTGTTTGTCCCAGAGCACTCTGTGTGTCAGGAGTGCTGTGGAAGCGGGACAGCTGCAGGGCACTGGTTTGGTGCCCTCAGACACACTCGTGCCCAGCACTTCTCCTGACGGGGATCTGGAAACTGCAGAGGTTTTGATCTGCAGCAGAAACTTCTCCAGGTGCACCACCAGGCCCCCTGGTTGTCCCTGCTGAAGGGGTGAGCAGCTCTGCACCTTGGGGGGGTTCTGTTTGCTCCACCTCTTCATCCTCACCCCTCCCTTGTCTGCTCTGTGCTCTTGTTCTCTCAGTGTCGTGGGGGTCCCACCACCCCACACCTCATGGTACCTCCCAGCTGTTCCTGGGGAGGTCTGTCCCAGCAGCTCTAGTGCAGGTGGATACCTGGAAATGTATCACACTTGAGGAGGGAGGTTCAGAGCTCACTCTGGCTTGATCCCTCTCAGCCTGTTCTGCATGAGCAGCCCTGACTCTTATCTGTGTCTCTTGACCTGTGAGTGATCTTAGGATTCCCTGTGCTGCTGTGACCCCCTCCCTGCCTCTGCTGAGGACAGACACAGGGTGATGTGGATTAGAAGTGGCTTCTGTGTGTCACTGCAGAGACCTGAGTTTGTTCCAGGTAACTTCTTAAACGATCTCATTTTCTGCAAGTGGCCCCAGGTTGTTTGTTTATTATTCCCAGTGCTCCAAAACAATCCAGGAAATGCAGCAAACACCCCAGCCCTGGTTCCCATCCTGTCTGGCAATGGTTAGAAGCAGCTGCAGGATTTGCTCAGTTGATAATTACAGTCCATTGTGTTTAGAAGACTCACCGAGCCTGGTGGTGTCTTGGAGGAGTGTGATTGATGGATCGTGGAATTTGCCATCTGCAGCAGATGGAGTTATGGGAGCCAGGGTGGGTGTGAAGAGGTTAGGTGTTCTGAGGCCCTTTCCAGTCACCATTCCTATGGCTGTTGTGTTTGTAGAAAGGAATTTTCTTTCCTTCTAGTTCTGTGTTACTTGGGCTGTACAGCTCACCTTGGCCTTTTCCATCCGGCACAAGGGGCACAAACACCCTCCCTGATTGTGAGGGGGCCTGCCACTGATGTCCTGGTAAAATGTCCCAAACAGCAGATGTGTGTGATAGCAGGGGCAGCACTTTGGACTGGAAATCTCCCTGTGTTTCTCCCTGGCTGGCTTGCCTGGACCAGACTCAAACTCAAGTGTCTGTCATGAGCTGCTTTAGAGTGACTTCCCCATGGTGCTGACTCTGAGAGCCTGAGGCGAGCTCTTACTGTAGGAAACAAGGAATGTCAAATTTGTATCTTACGTGGGAGGGAGAAGAAGAGTGGAATAACTGATACTAAATGAATGATTGAGCTAAACTCATTTATGCCTCTATTCTTTCACCGTCATCCCTTGTAGCCTTTCGTGGGGGCTCTCATTCATGCAGTGACTGCCTGGGAGGGCCTGGCCAGGACAGGGGTTATGGGAGCAGCCAAGTGTCTCAGGGATGGCCCTCAGGCTTGTCCTGAGGTGGGGAGACCGGTTTCCCCCAGAACTGCTGCTGACCCAGTTGTGTCCTCTCTGTCACAGCCTTTCTTCAGGCTCCTGAACCTGCGCAAGCTGGGCCTGAGCGACAATGAGATCCAGAGGCTTCCCCCCGAGGTGGCCAACTTCATGCAGCTGGTGGAGCTGGACATCTCCCGCAATGGTAAGGCTGGAGCTGGGCAGGAGTGGTGCCCAAGCCCTGCAGTGCTCCCAGTGCCCTCCAGCTGGGAGAGGCAGTGCTCTTTCCACACCCTGTGGAGCGGTCCCTTGGGAATCCTCAGCTGTGACAATGAGGTTGTCTTACCGTGGCTCAGGCTGCCATCTGTACCTGCTGTCCCATTTTTCCACATGCTAGGCTTTTCTCAAGCCTCTTTTGTTCTTTCACCTATTTTTTCCAGACATTCCAGAAATTCCTGAAAGCATCAAATTCTGCAAATCCCTGGAAATCGCAGACTTCAGTGGGAATCCTCTCTCCAGGTAAGAAGGCATATGTGAGCCATTAGTTCAGCTGAGAAGAAGAGTTGAAGTTGCTTATTCTCCCTGGCTTTCTCTGGTCTTCATCTTGTAACTGTCTTCCTGTGAAGCCAAGGCCTGGGATCTCCCTGCCTGTGCCAAACCTGCAGGTGTCTGCTCTCCTGGCAGGTGAAACACTCGGCTCAGAGCTGCTGTGTGCTCTGTCCTCTGCAGGGCCTGTGCCTTGGATTGATGAGCCCTTAGTTGTGTCAGTGATGAGACTTATTCAGAACTGATGACAACTGTCTTTTGAGCCCCATGTTAGGTTGTTTCCCTGATATCTCAGTGCCCCAAGTGGGAATCTCTGCCTTGTCTCTCAGTCCTCTGTCTCTACAGTTCTTAATCCATAATGTTTGGGAATTCAGTGTAGCTTCCCTGCCTTGAGGAGCCATGGTTTTGGGCACTGGTGTTTTGCTGCACTGTCTGCTGGGGTCTCTGCAGGGGCCACTCAGGCCCCAGGTGCCCCCTGCACTTTGTGCTCAGGGCAGGTGCTGCCCAGGTCTCCCTTCAGGCAGATTTAACTTTGCTTCCCTCCTGTGGTCCTGGGCACTGCTGGAGTGGGACAATCCAGCACTTCTTCACTAGGTGTTATTTGTCAGAGCCTTTTCCTGGCTCAGGGTTGAGATGAGTGTGGGGAGACAGGGGGGCTCCAGGGGCTGCCTGCAAACAGCAAAGGAATTTCTTCCTTCAGGGTTTTTCCCTGTTCTGTCATGTCTTGGAGCTGTTGTGATGGTGCTTGGTCCCAGGGAATGCTGCAGTGAAACATCCTTTGTTGGGCACTTGTAGTGCTTGGGAGCCTCTCTGCTTCCAAGTCCAAATGATCCCATGGCATGATTTAGTGTGGGATTCATGCTAGGGTACTGCAGAGCTGAGTTTGCACACCTGGACAGGTAGTGTCTTGTGCCAAGGGGCTTTTGTGGTCTTGGGAACAGAACTTGTCCTGGATCAGTAGCCAGACTCAGTGTTGGTTCCTGCCTGTTTCCTCTCCATGTCTTGATACTACTTGAGAGAAGACTGGCTTAGGGGGGATTTAGGTGTTTTGGGGCATTCAGTGCTTTGTACACAGGATTAATGGAATTTTGTTTGTACTCTCACAGGCTTCCTGAGGGCTTCACCCAGCTCCGGAGCTTGGGCCACTTGGCCTTGAATGATGTGTCCCTGCAGAGCCTCCCCACTGACATTGGGAAGTGAGTATGGCCCTGTCCTGGCAGCGGGGAGAGGGCTGGGGTGGGGACAACACACTTGTGGGGTGGGGACTGGCAGGACCTGGAGGGATGAGCCAGGGGCAGCTTTGCACCCCTGTGTGGGTGCACAGTGCTGGCAGTGCTGTGTGGGCACCTCTGAGCCTTGGTTTGTTAAAAACCTTTCTACAAAGGTTCCTGTCCTGGCCCCAGCAGCTTCTCCTCCTGTGGTCTGTGGCGCAGTGAGGAGCGATTCAGGCTTCTCCAATCCTGCCTTTCCCTATGTTCCTGGTGCCCATTTGCCCCTTTCCAAGCAAATGATGACTTTGGAATTATTTATGCTGCTGGAAAATGGTTCCGTGGGACTTTTCCCATGGGGTGCAGTGCCCTTCCCATGGGATTTTGCTTTCCACACTTGAGGGGTTTTACCTTTTTGGGCAGGCAGTCCTGTTGTGATGGCGTGTTCCTTGTCCTGAGTGTGGGCACAGTGTTGTTCCCCATGACTGCAGCAAGCGCTCGCCTCCATCAAAGCCATTTCCACCCCCGTTGTTTTTGTTCCCCCGTCTCCATCCACGTGTGCACACTCATGCCTTGTGCAGGACACAAGGGGTCATCCCAGGGGAAGGGAGATGAGCAGCTCCTTGTATCCCTGAAGCCCTGTCCAGTGAACCTGGCTTTCTCGCTCCCTTTTCTCTTGCAGTTTGGCAAACCTGGTGACTTTGGAGCTACGTGAGAACCTGCTAAAGACTCTCCCCACGTGAGTGTGTGTCTGGGGGCTGTAGGAGGCTCCTGCCTGATCATTCTTGCTGCTTCCTGAGGGACTGATTCCTCAGGGACTAGTGCAGGCTCTGGCACTTGGCTTGGGAGGGCACAGGCTGGGCATCCGGCTGCATCTGGCTGAATTTCAGTAAACTGGGGTGAGGAGGGAGAGGATGATGCAGGGCTAGAGAGCAGGGAAGGATGTTCAGAGCCTCTATGCAATCTCTGTGTCAGGATTGATTTGTAATAGACAGGGTTCCCCAAAAAAGCTGCTGGAAATAGTGAGAACCATTTTTCCTGGAGAGGTGGAGCAGACAATGGATTATTTTGGAAAAAGAGAGAAATCTGTATGGATATGGGCATAGGAGGAGCTCTGTGCACAGTGAGGTTTATGGTTTGAAGAGCAGCAGGATACAGCTGAAGGTACATTTTGCTTCTGACATCTGTTTTGTTGGGTATCCCTCCTGGTTCTGGATGGGATAACTGCCTTCCCTGCAGCAGACAAAACATAAGCCAGCAAGAGAGAAGAGGTAAGTGTTGTTAAATGTTTTGGAGTTAGGGACAGGGATGAGTTCCTGGTAGGGGACCTGGTTAGTGCAGGTGATGCTCTCAGGTGGATGGACGTGGAGAACTATCCAGTCCATACAATAATCTCTGCTTTGAGCCATGACAGTCTTTTGTTCAGTTTTCTACCCTCCATCAGCTCTGTCAGCTTATTTCCTGCCTGCTTATCCATCCCACTGATGATTCCCCAGCTTTTCCTGTTGATAGGGATTCTACCTGACCCCTTTTTGAACAGCAACGTGTTTTGGGCCACACAAACTCCTCTGTGAAGGTGTGACACATGCAGTTGTTATCACCTGTCCTCAGGGCTCTCTTACTGTTCCTGGTGGGAATTCAGTTCAGCTGCTGCTATTTTTCCCCTTTGTTCCTCTGGTTTATTTGAGGGAGAGGGCAAGGGAGGCAGCTGGTGATCCTATGTTGAGGAATTTGGGGCTTTAATCTGGCTGGTGTGATGGCCATGCCTCTCTTGGAGATGCTGCTTTGGCTCGGGCTCATGCTCTTCCCAGGGTTATTTCCCTTGGGACCTGCAAACACAGGCTTTATGTGGCACCAGTTATATCTGCTTGTGGAATTCCTGTGGCAGCTTCAACCCAGAGGACAAGACCCTTCTAAAAGGAGCTAAAAGGACCTGCCCTGGTCAGCTCCCAGGCCTCAGGTCTGGTGGTTACACCACACAGAAGCACAGATCAGAATCACGCGATCCCCTTGCTCTGGTGCCAGAGTCACCGGATCTTTTCTGCACAGAGCTTGTCAGCAGTGATGCTGTCACAGAAAGGTGATAGGAAGGGACCAGCTGAGATGGTCCAGTGTGGAATATCACCACAGGGAGAAAACAAGAGCCAAAGCTCCTTATCACAGAATCCCAGGGTGTTTTAGGTTGGGAGGGACTTTAAAGCTCATCATGTTCCAAGCGCTGCCATAGGCAGGGACACCTTCCACTAGATCAGGTTGCTCCAAGTCCCATCTGGCCTGGCCTTGAACACTTACTCCAGGCTGAGAGCGAGCAAGCAGGAGGAGTTTGGGTCCTGGTGCTGAGCCCCACTGCTCTCTGGGCCTGTGCCTGGGTGTTCATACAGGCAGGTACCACTGCTGGGTTCCACCGTGTCAGTGAAGAGGTGTGGTACCTACGTCCAAAGCTGGGCTTTCAAACTGCACTGAATGAAGATGGTCCCAATGGCTTTTCACCATCTCAGAACCAGCAAGTGTTTGAAGTCTGAGAATCCAGTCTGTGAGCAAACCCCTTGGGTCTCCATGGAGAACTCTCATGCCCAGTGCTCCCATGTTGCCCTGTGGTAGATCAGGGTGCCATGCACCAAGATACTTGCAGTGTGCTATGAGGTGTTGGAGTTTTTCACTGGAAGATTAGTCCAGGCTTGATGCTCATTCTACAGTGCAATTCCAGCTTCTTTTCGTCTTTCTTCAATTCCCCAAATTTTATTTTGGGATGACTTCCAAAAGTAGGAAATGGATCTTGCAGGCCCAGGCAATTCTGATCAGATGTGTCAGTCAGATATGAGATCACAGTGGGCAGCCAAAGCCATGTCAGTGGTGCTGTGAGGTTCCCTGCCCAGGCCTGAGGCTCTGGTACTTACTCTGGCTGCCCATCATGTCCAAGAACGACTCTAAATGAGTCCAGGTGACCTTGCCAAAGAGAAGAATGACTTACCCAAATGGCTGGTGCTTTGTTTTCAGGGTTCCTGAGCCCAGTGGGTAAGATAGGCTTCAACACTGAGAATTTGGGATGACATAATCCATCAGTGTGATTTTGGGATTTGTTGGTTTTGTTCAGCTCCTTGAAATATCCAGCTTGCAGTGACCTTTTCTTGCCAAAATTCCCTTTCATTGGTCAGTCTTCTGCTATCGACTGAGTTCTGAAACAATTCAGCTTGTACAGCTGATAGTCACCCCTCATCTCTCCCACACAGATGGGACACAGCCAGTGACTTGGGAAGGGCAGCTCTCGGTGGTGTGTTCTCATGGAACAGTGGAGGGTGATCTATACTGAGGCCTTTTGCCAGTCCTTTTACATCAGCGTGGATTCCACAGCTCACTTGTCCCTGTTTTGGGAATTCAAGCTGTAATGGTGCAAAGGGACAGTCAAGGCTGCATCACCTTTAGAGCAGTCAGAATTGATGTACAGTCATGGTGAGGGGGTGCTGTGCAACAGGATCCTTTGGATGATTCTGTTGATAAACCTTTGCTGGAGTTAATGTCATATCTCAAAGTCCACACTGCATGCAGTAGGAACTTGCTTTTCCAGCATAACCCAAACGTTTTTACAGCCTGGCCCAGGCAAGGCAGCTCCCTTTTATTGCAGCCTCAACAGCCTTGGTTTGGGTGGTGTTGACAGGTTGAGCTGTTTCCAGAGAAATATGAGGATTTCTGTTTTGGGACAGTTCCTTAGGAAGAGAATAAAGCTGTTCCTTGCTGGGGGAGTGGGCAGGGCTGGGCTGGCAGCTCTGCCCTAGAACACAGGGAAGGGCAGCAGCCCCCTTTTGGGGAGGTGGGGTTGGAGCTGATGGGTCAAACTCAGGAGTGAGGACATGTGAGCACCTGGGCCATATCAGGTAAACCCACTCCTGGGCTCGTGGGGCTGCAGGTCTTGTCCTTCCCCAGGTGTGATGTGTGGGGTGCTCGGGATGTGTCCATGGGCCACTAGTGGGGACAAGGCTGTAGGTCCTGTTCAGTGTCTTCAGAGTGAGCTTCTGTCTGTACATCGTGACCTCACCTGAGACATCATGCCACTGTTGTCTTCCCTTCCTTTTCAGCAGCATGGGCACCCCGTTTGGGGAAGCTGAGGCTGTTGAGTTTGTCATTCCTCCCTGTCCCTGCAGCTGTGTTCCCCTTGCCCCCTAAACATGTCTTGTTGTCTGCTGAGTCCCTCCTGTTACCTGTCAGTCCATGCCCAGGTCCCTGTCCTTGCTGCAGAAATGGGTAGTGACGTGAAGATGTGGCTGGTCATCTGTTATGGTTTTGCTCAAAGCGTATTTTGTGGTGGGAGGGGGAGAAGGCAAACTGTTACCAGTGGAACTGGCTGTACTGGGACTGCTGGTGCCTCTAAACTCAACTCCTTGAGGCTGAGGGTCTGGCTCGGGGAAGGTACCAGCTCCCTAAAGTGCTCAGCTCAGAGGGACTGTGAGAAAGGTCAGGATTGCCCCACCTGCTTTAGGAGTTATTAGAGATCATGTGATTTGTGTGATGTGTGTCCCAGATGTTAACCTTCCGCTCTTTATTTCCTGTTTTATCTCTCTCCCCTCTCTGCCCCCTGTGCCTTGCAGTTCACTCTCCTTCCTTGTCAAGTTAGAGCAGTTGGATCTCGGTGGCAATGACCTGGAAGTACTGGTAGGTGAGGGCTGGTGGGGAGGGAATGTGGGTGGTTGGTAGGGGCAGACCCTCTGTGCAAGCAGGTGGGTTTTCACCTGAGATGCAAAGAAATAGACCTACAGGTTGTTTGGGAAGATTCTGATTTGCCCAGCATGGCCCAGTTGTTCTTCCCAGATTAATGTTCTCTTCATGTGTCAGCCCTTGTGTCTTGTGCCCTGCTGGTCTCACACACAGCTCGCTCTGCCCTTTCCAAGTTCTGGGGTGGTAATTCTTCCTATCTGGCTGCCAAGGATCTTTCCCGAGGAGACTCTCTGGTGCTTCCCTTCTCCTCTGTCCTGCACTGCCCCCAGCTGTTTTTCTTCTCATCCAGCTTCCTGCCTTTCTCCTTTCTGATTTGTTTTCTGCCCTGTGGAGTGCTGGGTCATTCCATGTTGTCCCTGGCAGTAGGGGCAACCCAGTGTGGGGGTTGTCTCCATGGAGGGCTCAGTCTATGGAGAGCCAGGGCACAGTCTCAGAATTCATCTTGTCTGGGTATTCAGGGACACCCAGTGACATTCTGTAACTTTACAGCTGTGGATTAAGCTGTTACTGGATCCTGCTCTTTGTGTTCTGGAATTGGTTTTGGCAGAAAACCATCAAAACTGGGAGGCAAAGGGGTTTGTGCAGCTTTGCTGTGCAGAGGCTGAGCTCACCTGTGAGAACAGGTGTCTGACATGTGAGCCACACTGCAGTGGAGCAGGAACTCCAAACCCAAATGCTGATCAGTTGGGGGGGTTTGGGGTATGAACATATGTCTGCCATGGCTGCTGGTGCTGCTGGGTCGTGTTGAGTTGGCCAGTGGTACCTGAGTGTTTGTTTCCATGTGCGAGAGGAGGAAGACCCATTTCATCTGTAAGGCCAGAGTTTCCAACTCCCTAGAATCATGGAATCATTTAAGTTGGAAAAGAACTCTGAGACCACGGAGCCCAACTGCTCCCTCAGCACTGCCAAGGCCACCACTGCCCCATGTCCCCAAGTGCCACATCCACATGGCTGTTAAACCCCCACAGGGATGGAGACTCCACCTCTGCCCTGGGCAGCCTGTGCCAGGGCTGGACAGCCCTTTCCAGTAGGAATTTCCCCAATATCCAACCTGAAACTCTCCTGGCACAACTTGAGGCTGTTTCCTCTTGTGCTGTCCCTTGTCCCCTAGGAGCAGAGCCCCACCCCAACCTGGCTTCACCCTCCTCTCAGGGAGTTGTGGAGACCAAGAAGGTCCCCCCTGAGCCTCCTTTTCTCCAGGCTGAGCTGCCCCAGCTCCCTCAGCCATTCCCCATCAGACTTGTGCTCCAGATTTAGTTCTTGCCTTGCCCACTGCCAGACAGTCCTTCTGTTGCCTTCCATGTTTCCCGTGGGACCTCCTGCAGCCAGTGGGCTGCCCCAGACATTCCCAGACATCTGAGCTTCTGTCTGGTAATAAACCGTGCAGTGGATGATCTTGGGAGGTGTGAGAACCAGAACAGTGCCTGGCTTTGCAGAGTGTGGTGTATTTGTAGTGTCCTCAAACAGCTTCTCCCCGTGGAAGGGACTGATGCCATCACTGTCCTGTCTCTTCCAGCCGGACACTCTGGGCGCGCTCCCAAACCTGCGCGAGCTTTGGCTGGACCGGAACCAGCTCTCGGCCCTGCCTCCGGTGAGTGCCATCTGAGGAGGCCCTCGTTCACCCCTTTGCCTCTGCCCCAGCTGCCCCCTGGAGCTGTGGTGTCTCCTCTCTGATCCAGGAGCTGGGCAACCTCCGCCGACTGGTCTGTCTGGATGTGTCGGAGAACAAGCTGGAGCAGCTGCCCAACGAGGTCAGTGGGCTGGTGGCACTGACGGACTTGCTGCTGTCACAGAACCTGCTGGAATGCATTCCGGATGGGATCGGTGAGTGTCACGGGATGGGGACCACTGCAGGACTTTACTGCCTGGACAGTGCTTCTGGGGGAGCTTCAGGCAAGAGTGTGTGTGACAGAGAATTGGGGCTTTGTGGGCGCAGGTACAGTCACTGAGAACAGAAGCAGTGGGTGATACAAGTGGGCAGAACTCTCCAGGAGAGTTCAGGTACTTCTTCTGCATCAGGCATGGGTGAGGCCTGTGAACAGGCCTGGTGGGAGGAATGGCAGAGCCTGTGTTGTTGGGTTACACGATCTCTGATGGGATCATGGCCAGGTGAGTGTAGAACAGCATCCTTCCCCCTGGCACAGCTCACACCTAACTTGTTGCCCTGGCCAGGTCAGCTGAAGCAGCTCTCCATCCTCAAGGTGGACCAGAACCGGCTGACAGACGTGACAGAGTCAATTGGGGACTGTGAAAATCTGTCAGAGCTCATCTTGACCGAGAACATGCTGACGGTGAGTGCAGGGCAGCCACCTGCCCCCCCTGTGCTGTTCAGTGTAGCCACCTGCCAGGGATCCCTTCCCTTCTTCTGCCCTCAGAGCTGGATTCCTGAGTGTGCTCCAGCTGCTTCCATCCAGAGTTTCACTGAGCTCACAGGGTCTTGGGAAGACCCTGGTGGAAGCTGCTTTCTCTCACTGATATTTTTTTTTTTTCTTTCCTCTGAAAAATTCTTTGGGATAGCTGGGGTGCTGGGATTTCCAGTCCCAAAGCCCATCCAGGCTGTATTGGCAAGGGGGTCGTGGGATAGTTTGACTGACACTGGCCCTGCTGCAAACTGCCCATGATTTGACTGGTAAAACACAAGGATTGGGAATGGGCAGATGAACAGGAGGAAAGTCTTGACCAGTGATGGTCTGAGTGTGGTGTGCTGGGGGGAAGAGTTGGCATGGATCAGTCTGTAAGCCCAAGGGAAAAGCAGTCCCAAAGTTGTCCTGAAGAGTGTTATCCCAAATGAGTCTGTTGGGACAGGAGACAGCTTGTTCCCCAAACTGTGCCTTTTAGCCTTCCCCAGAGGGCTTCGTGCCTTTTACCTCAATTCTGCTGCTCTTTCCTCTTGCAACCACTGACTTGGCTCCTTCCCAGGCCTTGCCCAAGTCCCTGGGCAAACTGGCCAAGCTGACGAACCTGAACGTGGACCGGAACCGTCTGACGGCGCTGCCGGCGGAGATCGGGGGCTGTGCCAACCTCAACGTGCTGTCCCTGCGGGACAACCGCCTGGCACTGCTGCCCCCCGAGCTGGCCAACACCACCGAGCTCCACGTCCTGGACGTGGCTGGGAACAGGTGAGCAGCAGGAACGTGCACGGGCTAGCAGGGGTGTTCCTGGGCAGGCTGCTGTGAGGGAGATGCTGGATACATGTGGATCCTGGTATCTGCAGTGTGGAGAAGCCCAGGTTGGCTGCTAGTGGATCAACCTTTGCCTGGGAAGCCCTTCTGTGTTCCACCTGAGCACAGGGTGGAGATAACACAGAAGTGTGAGGGCATTTTGCCACGTGTGAAATAAAGATCAGGGGAAATTCCTGGTCACTGGCTTCCTTCCTGCAGATTTTGTGGTCTGTGTCTGTCATCAGTCCCCAGGTGATCAGTGCCAAAGCCTCATTCATAGTGTGCAGGTACCTGGGAGCTGTTCTGAGTTCTGCAGGTTTGGGCTGCAGTTCTGTTTGCTGGGGCTGGTATTTTTGGGAGCAGTTGGAAGCTGACCAGAGGTGCTGTAGAAGGCTCTGTACACTGGGCTGTTAAAGCATTGTTTTTCTGCCTCCAAACCCCTCATTTCACGCTTCTGGTGGGAGTTGTCCTTGGCTAAAGGCTGGTGAGGGTGGGTTACTGGAGCCCAGTCCACGGCCATGGCAGAGCCATGGGCAGCACAGATCAGCTGCTCCAGTGGTGCAGGAGTGAGGGATCCATAGCAGCTTGGCTCTGTCTCTCTCCGTTCAGATGGGGCAGCCTGGAGCTGAGGTGAGTTCTTTCCTGATCAGGTGAGTTTAACAAGCAGTTGTTCTTCTCTTTTGCAGGCTGCAGAACCTGCCCTTTGCTTTGACAAATCTTAATCTGAAAGCCCTGTGGCTGGCAGAAAACCAGTCCCAGCCCATGCTGAAATTCCAAACCGAAGATGATGAAAAGACAGGAGAAAAGGTTCTCACTTGCTACCTTCTCCCTCAGCAGCCCTCTCCCAGCCTGGGTAAGAATCTGTGTCACAAGCACTGGGTGCAGAGCCATGTGCTCCCGAGGGGCCTGAACCTTCCTTGAACCTTCCTCTCTGCTGTGTTGGACTGTCCCTCACTGTGATTCCTGTAGCAGATCCAGGCTCCTGAACAGCTGGGACACTTTTCCCAGGCAGAGATTGTTAAAACTGAGGAATTACTTCTCTGCCAGGTGATAAGGAAGCTGCAGCCTTGTCTCTGAGTGTTCTCCTTTGATCTGCTGACTGAGCAGTTCATTACCTATTGTCCTATCACCATGATATTGTGTCAATACTACAGATTCCTGCCTTAATCCTACATTTTTCCTTACTTCTTGAGTAAGGAGCACTAGAGCTAAACCATCAGGCCCTTCTGTAGAGGTGGCTGTAGATCTGGTGGGAGATGTACAGAAGATGATGGGAGCTGGAGGCCACAGCCTTTGTCCTCAAGGCCTCTGATGCCATGGGCAGATATGGCAGAAGTGCCCTAATGGGATGAGCACTGGCTTCCATCCAAGCCTGGAACCCTGCCCCTTCTGAAAGGAGCTCCCACTGTGTTCCCTCTTTCCCCAGAGAACCTCCTGCAGAACAGTGTGGACGAGAGCTGGACGGACACCAACTTAAACAGAGTCAGTGTCATCCAGTTCCTGGACGAACCCAAAGGAGATGATGATGAGGAGTCTGGAGCTGAGAGACGGGTAAGAAGTTCCTGGAGTTGGCTCCCTGTGGAAACACAGGCACAAGCTAAGCTTTCTGACTATGGGGAGCCACTGTGGTGTCCATATTTCACCCTGTGACACTGCTGTGGGGATGTGTGAGATTTTCACAGCCCAAAGGGCATTTGGTGCCCTGAGGAGCCAAGCAGGAGTGAAAGGGAATGAATTCCTTGGGAGCTGTGGTGCAGGATCTCGTTTTGAGGCTGTCCCATCCACAGGAGTGGAGCTGTGACAGTGAAGTACCCAGGGAGTACTGGGGATGTCCAGAAATCCCAGTAGAGCACTGTCAGGGCAGAGTTTAACTGACCCCTGTCATGGGGAAGAGCTGTCCAACCAAACCCAGGCCGTCCCTCTCCCTCCAAGCACAGAGCCAATGCAGTCTGTGCTGTGGGAATCCTGTTAGTAAAGTACTAAATACTGTAGGCAGCCTCAAAACCTGCAGGAGATCATTGTGCTTTCAGTGCAGATGCAAAGGGCAGGATAAAAGTTTGTTTTCAGCAAGTGCTCTGGGGGTTTCAGTCTCCTGCAGGATTTTTTTTTCCTTTTTATCTTGTGGAAAGTCATTTTTGAAATCTGAATCCTGATGAGTGGTGTTTGCACATGGCAGCATGTGTGTACCACTGGCATTCGGAAGTTTGGGGGTTTTTTGATTGTTTTTAACATTTTTATTAATTTTAGAATGCTGGTTTTCTTGACTCTTACTTGGGATGGAACTTGCGAAGCAGCACCAATTCTGGTGCTTTCGGGCTTGGCAGACTCCAGAGGGATTAGGAAGATATCCCAAGAAGATTTCCTACCAGTGTTCTGGAGGGGTTTCAAGTGTCAATGATTTTGCATTTGCTAAGCCCGAAGCACCATTTAAAACTTCCTGTCTCCATCGTTCCTCCCAGTCCCTCTATCAGATGGAGAGCAGGATGATGTCCAGAGGCAGCTGAGTGTTCCCTGCCTCTGTTCTTTCCCCATCCTTCCCAGCTGCAAGCTCTTTGAGGCCTGGAGCAGATCTGCAGTGGGACATGTTGGTCGTGTCTGGCCGAGGCTCTGGCTCTCTGATAAAGGTGTCAGTTACCTGCAGGGGTTCATTCCTGAGGCCTGGCACGCGCTGCCCAGGCTGGAATCCCTTTCCTGAGGGTTTCCCTTTGGCAGGGCCTGCAACGCCGAGCCACCCCTCACCCCAGCGAGCTGAAGGTGATGAAGAAGGTGATCGAAGTTCGGCGTAACGAGGTGAACGCCGCAAAGGCCGATGCTGACCTCAACTCTCCTAACTCAGAAGTGAGTGGTGGTCACTGGGCGATGGATAACCATAGAAAACATGGAATCATGGAATGATTTGGGTTGGAAGGGACCTTACAGACCATCCAGTTCTGCCCCCTGCCATGGGCAGGGACACCTTCCACTTGGAACACGTAGAGAATCTGGGGAATGGAGAGTCAGACTTTGGGGAAAGACTGGGAGGGACTGAGAATAGATTGTCTGGATTCCAAGGGTTGGGAGTCTGCCTTGTGGTGTCAGGACAGGCCACTTAGATAGAGGAATAGATGGGACCAGGAGACAGGGAACAGTAAGGGGAAGTGTGTGTGAAGGTGCCACTTTTGTCAGAGCACAGGGAGGGAAAGAGAAGGTTCTGATATTCCCAGTAAGGAATGGTGGAAATGGAGCGCTTGGAGAAGGCACCTTGCTGCCCTGGTGGGATACTGAGAATAAATGCCTACAGGAGGTGGAATGAGGTGGACCCAGATGTAATGAAGGAGGCTCAGCAGGGGAAGCCTTGGGCAGCCTGAGGGAAAGCTGGTTCTGTTGGTGCTGGAGCGTTCCCACCTCCCACACTGCATGGCTCCGTTTGCTGCTCTGGGTTCCATCCTGACCATCCCAACTCTTTTCTCAGGAGAAGAGGCTGAGTGCCACGTCGAACCGCAGTGAGGACTCCCACGTGTCCACCAGCACTGCCTCTGCAGACTGCAGGGCAGAGGAGGGGGACCGGGGCTGGCCCAACGGGCAGGTGCCCAACGTGCGGGAGCTGGAGAAGGAGGCAAAGCCCAGAGCAGAAGAGGAGCATAAGGAAGCTGCTGGCCAGGAGGAGGAAGATGTGGAAGTGGAATACAATGAGGTAGGAGCCTGGGAACTGCAGCAGGGTCATGAGGAAAAGCGGAAGGACGTGGAATTTTCAGAGGAAGTGGGAAATGGATGTACAGGTAAACGGGTATGGGATATGTGCATCACTGGAGGCAGATCCAGGGCAGGGAAGGCAGCACAAGCTGAGATTGGGCAGCCTAAGCTGAGACTGAGGCAGCCTGTGGGAGTTGGATCCTTGGGAGACTGGGCTGGACAGTGTGGGAGCCTGACAGGGGATATGGGAAAATAGGAGTGACAGTGACAGGTTTGAGTGTCCTTCATCCCTGGAGCTGACAGAAGCATGTCTGGGGGAAGGAGTGGATATGGAAAAAGGCAAGGATGGTGCAATAGTAACACGTTTCCTGCATGTCCCTGAGCACACGAGCAGTGAAACTGGCTCTGCCCGGTCTGGGAGGGGGACACGTGGACAGCGGGTTCTGCACTGCCACACATCAGTTACCTGAGGCTCACGGCCTGTCTGGGGCTTTGCCACCACAGCCCACTGTACACTTTGCTGAGGACACACTGATACGGAGTGAGGATGAGGATGAAGATGAAGAGCGACCATTCCCAGTGGAGAAGCAGAGGCTTATCCGCAAGGACACGCCCCATTATAAGAAACACTTCAAGATCACTAAACTGCCCAAGCCAGAGGCAGTGGTGGCACTTCTGCAGGGGCTGAACAGCGACGGGGTCCCTAAAGAGGAAGAGGAGTTGGGAGGCTGCAATAACAACACAGAGCCCGAGGAACAGGAGGAAGCATGGGATGAGGATGACAGAAAGAATGGAGCTTTGTCTGCTCAGCCGTCCGTGAAGGTGAGGTCTTGTGGGGAGGGGGAAGGTCAGAGGGGTGCACACCTGCCCTCTCCTCCTTTGACCTGCCAGGCGGGCTGATGTTGTCCCGAAGAAACCGCTGGCAAGAGGCTCCAGCACTTGGGGATGTGCTGGGGGTGGGAGAGCTGAAGCTTGTTCTGGGGCTCATAGGGTTGTCCAAGAGCTGTGCCATGTTGCTGTTTCTGACTCCTTCACTGTATCAGGTCCTTGCACCCTCCCTGTCCTGTGTGATGTTCCCTGTGCTGCAGGAACAGTTCTCTGTCCCATCGCTGATGGGTTCTGCTGTTCCTTCCAGCCACCTCCTCACTTGCTGGTTGTTGCCCCTCATTCACAGCAGGATGAGCTTTATCCCTGGGTGGATCCAATCTCAGACTGATGTTTGGGCCACTGACACCGGGCTTGCTGCCACAGTGCTTCCAGAGAGTGCGAGGGGAGCCCAGAGCATGCCCTTCCCTGTGCTTCCACCTAAACGGAACCTGATGGATGCTGTGTTGGGATTTAGGGGAGCTTTTGCTCTGGAGCCTTGCCATGGGGCCATGGTGGGCCTTACTGGTCATACTGGGGCTGATGAGATACGAGGTCCTTGGCTCTGCTCAGCTGTTAGGGACACAGAGGTTCCTGCTTGAGGAAGTTCATCCAATGGAATAGGAGTGCACGGATGAGGGACACTGCATGAGGCTGGAGTGGTTCTCCCCGAAGCTGGTGTGAGGTGTATTTGGCAGGCAGGGATTAGGATATGGCTGAGTCTCCATCTTAGTCTGACACCAGCAAATCTCACAGGTGGGATGTGGGTCTCTGGACATAGAAGCTGCTGGAGTAAAACCTGTTTCTACTGTAACTGCACGTGCTCCAGACTGCCAGGATCATTCCCACCCCCAGTGGAGCTCAGACTGCCCAGGGGAAAGTCCTTGCCCTCACTTTGCTTTGGAGCCTTTTCCTCCGTGGGCGTTCACCCTGCTCTGCCTGAGCTGATGCAGCTCATCCCGGGCTCCCTAGGGATGAGACGTACAGTCTGTCTCCCTGTTGTTGGTGAAGTTCCTCAGAAGGAAAAGGAGTTGCTGCTGCTTGTAGGAATGTATGAAGCTGTCCTGAGTCCCTTCATCCAAGATCTGCTGTGCTTAGGAAACTCAGAAAGGTTTTTTTAGCCAGGGACTTGGAGCTGAGGAGTCACTGAAGCTCTGACAGAGCCCACGAGGCCTGTCCAGGTGTGCTGTACCTGTCAGAAATTACCTTGGTTATGGGCTAAGCCTTCTGCCTGGAAATCAGTTCTCCTTTCTGTGGGGCTGGGTTGGATGCCTGCTCCATGAAGGCATTTATTAGCTGCCACCTGAGCTGCATTCCAAGGGTGGGGATGTGGGGAGCAGCGTCCCTGTGCAGGGGAGGCTCAGGTATGAGGTGATATGTGCATTGAAGAAGGAGGCAGGACAGGCTGTACAGAAGGCTGAATCCTTAAGCCAGAGGGTTTTGTTGCCAAGACAATTGGTTTTCAGAAGAAATCCTAAGGTTTTCTGCACTTGGGAGCAGGATCCTGGGTGTCTGACAGGATGCACTGTTTCACCAGAGAAAGGCACCGATGCAGTTGGGTTTGGGATTGCTTTTTGCTGTGCAGCAGCTGGTGGTACCACAGGCTCCTTGGTGCTTTCTCCTGTGTTTAACTCTTCCTCCTTCCTGGAATAACCTGGTACAGAGGCAGGGTGAGGTCAGCTGATGGTGGTCAGCTCAGGGGTCATGGCCTTGGAGTGCCAGCACAGACAGAACCTGGCCTTAGGGGGTGCCCCTGGGCATGAGCACACTGGCACTCAGCATGCTGGGAGCCCAGGAACAGCCCTGGCACCGCTGAGGTGGTGGGCAGGAGTGGGGGCTGCTCAGGTGCTGTGGAGGTCAGGAGTGACTCTGTGAGTGGGGTCATCTCTGGA